GATCAGCAGTCATGTTACCTGTGTCACATTGTGCCTTAGTCATGTTCTCCCTGTTTCAGTATTGTGATAGAATTTATCTTGATTCCAAGGCTCAAGCTTATAGGATATCATTATATGACACCTATAAGCTTGAGCCTTGGAATCAACATTTCTGATCCACAACAGTATCACTCTCCCCCTCTGTCTCTTATCTCTGTCACTTACTATGACTGTTTGCAGTGGTTACCCTGGGGCCTCTCACTCGGCCCTTACCTTCCATGATGTCCATGTCCTTGGGAGCGTAGGTGTTCATTTTGTTGGCTGTCTTGACACTGGATGTTAGTTTTATTTTTTTGTTGTAAATCTTGTTTATTGAGTCATAAAAGTCAGCAAAAGTTAGGCTCGCTAGCCAGAAAAAGGTACAAAGTTAACAATATAAGTCATAAAAAGAAACAAACGTAAATGCAATATAATAACGGCGTAACAATTCACGCTAGGATCGTAAACTCTAATGACTGGTCAGTGTATAAGTTCTGTGTTCCCTTTCCGTGTTTGGAAAGATGTAGGTGAGCTTTGCCCTAAAGTGATGTATCAGTGTATGTGAGTATGTGTGCGTGTGTACTCGCAGAATACAGCAACTCTTGGTGTTAACACAGCGAGAGGACGGGGCCTATCAGCCTCAGATATGATCCAAGGTGTCTAATAATAAATTGTCACCATATAAGGTATATAGTAGGCTACCTAGTAGCTTATCAGAGTGGAGAAGACCCACAGGTCCTGTTAATAACTCCATATTAGCTCAGGCGAGTGGAGATAGGGTGGTGAAGTACGTAATCCTTTCCGTCATGGTGACATGAACGTAACCTTTTCTGTTTCCGGGGTGTGTGTTTGAGAAGCTTCTACCTGTTTTAGGGTGCTTAGGTGCCCCTTTCCCCATAAATCATTATCTGAGCGCTTATCACTCCGAGGTCAGGACTCCTCTGCTCACTGCTTACTTGTGCATATACATGCTATATGTAGCCCATTTCTTGTACAAGGCACCTACCCCTTCTCCACGACAGGTACTTATAGCAGAGCTTGAGTATTGTACACGATTCACTACCCCCACCCTCACCCTGTGTTTAGCTAGTGCGTGTTGTCGTCAGTGTTCTGCCGAGGGTAAGTGTCCCTGTTATGTCTTCTTGTGGTGAGTGCATGTCAATCTTATTGTCGTGGGGTCAGTGTGGTGAATTAGGTCTCAGCTAGCCTGTCAAGCAGCCAGGTCAAGAAGGATCCCTGACGAATGCACGGATGGTCAGGATCTACCGATGTTAGTTTTATTGACACAAGATTCTCTTTTGACCTTAAGGAGTGGAGTGTCACCTTAGTGAAGTGTCAGCTTGTCAACCTCTGTGGTGTATTGGGAGCTGCACACATAGGAATCCTTCCATGACATTGAAGGATGTATATCCAATCATGATCATCCCTTCCATATGCAGGAGGGACATGTTGCCCTCCCTCCGCCACCATCTCCTCGTGCAGCTCCAGCAGGTCTAGGCCAGTAAGGTCCTGTATCATTATGTATAACTAGGCTGGAAGACCATCACTGCCCAGTCTAAAAGATCTGATGGCAGAATGCCAGTCCTCCAGTGTCAAAGGGCTTCTAGCACAGCCTGACCCAGAGGGACTACCACCTTTGTGATACCCAATAGGAATCTGTCTGCCGCATGCATGTCTGTGCATTTAAGGAACTAAAGGTTTCTGTAATAATTGATAAATTTCTGAACTTTGTATCTTCTTTTTTCACCGTTGCATTTCTCTCTTGCTGTCAGGTAGCTCTGACCGGGTGAGGGGGGGGAGGAGGGGAAGAGGGCGTATGGGCTCAGTGGAGGTTTTTTTTAGGAAGAATGAGCATTTACACTGTTCTCCGTATTCTCCAACTTGATCCTTTTTAGGCTGTCTTTTGTCTCCTCCGGTTACCCCCTTACTTCCCAGCTGCTGGGTTGGAGATCCTACTGTAACTGCTACTTCTCTTCCAGTTTCCTAAAGTTTCTCAGATGTTTTACATGGCTGTTCCTAAGACGCAAGGGCTAGAAAGAAGATTACCGAAAGATAGACATTTACTTAAATGGATACATTACAAAACAAATATGCAAAGAAACAAAATCTTGCGTCGTTTTTTATATTAAAAAATGGAAAGTGATGACCGTTTTCTTTTAACATACAACACACTAATCTCTTCTTCGGTAAGTTACATACTAGCTTGCCACTACCCCAAACTTATTTAAATACATATTCTACCTTCCCCTGTTTCTAACAAAATAACTATTCACCCTAAAAAAATTGTGTCATTTATTATACTTTAAAATACACAATTTGTATAAATTTTAAACATGCCCCAGCCCCCCAGGACAAATATTAAACTGGTTGGAGGTCAATAAAATATGTATATAACATATAGATGTGTTTATTCATCTTAAAAAAATGATACACAAATAGAATAGTTAGAAAAAAACCCCATCATACTATTTTAATACTGTACTATACATGTGTATTCGACACATCATGACACTTCTCGTTGTAGCGTTAATGGGCTGTAGATTATTATTCTTCAGACTTTTCATCAGCTCCTTCCATGTAGATAAGGTAAGTGTATTGCTATCAGGAGCATAGTTATTAACATAATTGTGAGGTAGACTGCAATGTGGCATGTCTTGTTTTTTTTATCATTACTAATTTGTTTTGCTGTGGAACTTGATATTCTACTTTAGTTACTCGCATACCTTACAAGTGTTCCAGTTTAAGAGGGGGCAGTCCCTATCCTGGGCCCAATTCTCTCTCTCCCCGGAAAATTTTGGTGTGTATAAGTGTATAACGGATCTTCAAAGCACTAAACCTTACAAAAAAGTTTTTTTAAATAGAATAACTCTGTTTAGAAATTAGTCTTTGTGAATAAGATACTTTGGCCTAGTTGTAAATGTCATGCCGTAGTAAATGTCATGCGTTAGGTAAATGGCCATCAGTAGATTATAAAAAAAAATCAAATAAACGTCCTGAATAGCGTTGTCCATGGCCACGTCTCCAGCCTCATATCCTCCAATGAAAGGACTTTCTGGCATTTGAAATGTTGGGACATATCTAGTCAGGCTCCTTATGTTATGGGTAACTATTACATTTCTTTCATACTTTATCATTGGAGTATGTTATAGACCCAACATTCTAGTGACCAGAAAGGAACTTTTGTTTTAAGAGGAGTGGCTGTAGCTTTGTTTTATGGCTTTGTGATTATGACCTTTTCATGGTTATTTGTGTATTTGGCGAGCCATGCAGAATAAGAACAAAGTATGTTATTTACACAGAATGATTTATAATCACATTTATTGCAATATAAACATACGTCACGTGTGTTTTATTGCTGTTTAACTCATGCCAAGCGTACAGCACTGCTAGTCAATAGGAAAGAGAAACAAGGGACTTTGGAGTCCATATTACCACAAAAGAGTGGTCGGTTTTTTTGTGATTCCTATAAGAAGGGTAAAAGGAAGAATTTATAAAATGTCATTTTTTGCTTGTGGTACTGTCAGGACCTAGTGTGCCACTGCTACCCTCTATGCATACCTCACTCCGCCATTACGTATTTCTTTGCGGTCCTTGACTCCGATGACAGAGTTTAAACACATCACAGCCCACTGTATCTGGAGCCTCTACAAACGCGGCTTGCTTTATAGGAACTCCGGTGGGATGGATCTGGGGATGGTGTCCGCAGCTCCAGATCATGCAGGAGGGGGTTTTCTCTCCTACCTCCCTATAAAATGCTGCCTCTCCATTTCCTCAGTGCTCAGTTTTACTGTATTCGATAGTACTTTAACTCCTACACAAACCCTTAGTGTTCCAGAGCAAGTCGCTATCCTGTGCAAACCCTAAGTTTTCAACTCAAGTTACTATCTTGTGCAAACCCTCAGTGTTCCTGAGCAAGATGCTATCCTGTGCCAACACTCATTTTTCAAATCAAGCTACTGTCTTGTCCAAACCCTGAGTGTTCCAGAGCAAGTTGCTATCCCGTGCAAACCCACATGTTGCATTTCTGTACAGATTGTCAGTACAAGCTGTATTACCTTATACTTGTGCTACTTGCAGTTTAATTGAACTAGTTATTGATACCCCATTGACTCTCTATACTGGGAAGAATATTGGTCTAAAGAAATATTTTAGTGTCAATTCGTGCATACCAAACTCCTTTTGCCAGCCCCCACCCTGACAGGTAATCATTTAGAAACAATTCTCTAATTACTAAAATAAGTCACTATTGTTAGTTGTTAATTTCCATAATCCTACAAATTTAACATTAGGGATCACACTCAGCCTTCCCACACACACATTAATACTCAACCAATCACCCCCACACACATCACTTTCAGCCAACTGCACATACACTCCACATATATCTCAACCAGCCTTCCTTCACACAGAACATATACACCCCACACACATCACGCTTAGACACAGATGCTCTCTATAATACATTCATATACTCTGCACATAACTGTAAGTTTTGTTGCTGCTGAGCTCTGATACAATCATACACTCTCCACATAATTATCCTGTATCAGTTGTGACTCATCGATTCCTGGCAAATATTGTAGATATATATATTATACCGTGTAGGGTGTAAGGTGAGGAGTACATTGCAGAAACTGGCCTTGTGGCAGCTGAGAGGGTCTATCAATACTTGTTCAGTGCTAAAGTGCACATTAACCCTCCCTGCTGTGAATGGATTGCCTTTTGACCCATTACATTCAGGGTTTTAATGTTGCTCAGTGAACACAAAAGAGACAGAATACAGGTGGTCCTCATTTTGCGACCTAGCTGCTTTATGAAGGCTCGCACTTACGACCAGCTCTCTTGCAGGGTGGTAAGTGCGAACCGTTGTGGGAATTAGAGGGCTTCCCTGCTCTACTGCGTTCGTCTATGTTCGGGGAAATGTTCCTGAACACAGACATGCGCACCAGAGCAGGGAATCCCTTAAATTTCCCCGAACATAGATTAGAGAGATTTCCTTCTCTGTTGCGTTCGTCTATGTTCAGAGGCATTTCCCCAAACATAGACGAACGCAGCAGAGCAGGGAATCCCTTAACTCCTCACTTACTGACCAATGCATTCTACGACCAGGTCGTAGGAATAAACCCGGTCGGTAAGTGAGGAGTGTCTGTATATATTTCTAATTTAATCATGTGGAAATGACATGATTTCAGTGATATAAACATAAAAGACACAAAAACATCACTTGAAGCTAGGTTTAGAAACAGCAATGTTATTGTTATACTATAAGGGTTATTCACTAAAGTGAGAATTCAAAGTAAAGTCAAAGTGAATTTCGAAATTAAGGCCCAAATAACTGAAATGGAAGCATCTCTGACTTAGAACTATTTTTGCAACAAAAACAGGGAATATGAGAACACTGAGAATGGACAAAATCTTAGAGAAACTCAGTAGGTTGTCCTTCGGCAAATCCCCGCTTAACCACTTCAGGACGGAGTCTCTCTCTCCTCTGGTATATTTCCATCACCCTTCAAACATGCAACTGTAACCCCAATTCTAAAGAAGCCCAATCTTGACCCTAACTCCCCATCCAACTATCGTCCTATCTTGTTACTGCCTTTTGCATCCAAGATCCTTGAAAGAATTGTGTATGCGAGATTGACAGACTTCCTCGAGTCCAACTCTCTGCTAGACCCGCTTCAGTCTGGTTTCCGCGCTATGCACTCTGTGGAAATGGCACTGACCAAAGTATCAAATGATTTACTCGCTGCAAAATCTCGTGGTCACTACTCTGTCCTATTTCTCCTTGACCTGTCTGCGGCTTTTGACACTGTTGATCATCAACAGCTTCTTCTCATCCTCCGCAATATTGGTCTACAAGATACTGCTCTCTCCTGGTGCTCCTCCTACCTCTCCCAGCGCTCTTTCAGTGTTTCTTTCTCTGGCTCTGCTTCTTCTCCCCAACTCCTCTCTGTTGGTGTCCCCCAAGGTTCAGTCCTTGGTCCCCTACTGTTCTCCATCTATACTGCCTCCCTTGGTAAACTCATTAGCTCCTTTGGCTTCCAATATCATTTCTATGCAGATGACACGCAAATCTACCTGTCCTCTCCTGATCTCTCCCCGTCCCTCTTGACTAGTGTCTCTGACTGCCTCTCTGCTGTTTCTAACTGGATGGCTGCCCACTTCCTTAAACTTGACCAAAACTGAAATTCTGGTCTTTCCTCCCTCAAGTGTTGTTACTCCTGTGTCTGTCTCCCTCCAAGTCAACAGTGCTACCATCAGCTCTACCACGCAGGCTCGCTGCCAAGGTGTTCTCTTTGACTCCGACCTCTCCTTCAAGCCTCATGTTCAATCTATCGCCAAATCCTGTCATTTCCATCTCAAAAACATTGCGTGCATCCGCCACTACTTAACGCCAGATGCGACTAAGGTGTTGGTCCATTCCACTGTCCTTTCTCGCCTTGACTACTGTAATCCACTTCTCAGTGGTCTTACGTGCTTCCAACTTGCGCCGTTACAGTCCATAATGAATGCGGCAGCGAGGCTCATCTTCCTGTCCGCCCAGACCTCCCATGCCTCACCCTTCTGTCAGTCCCTACATTGGCTTCCTATAAAATATAGAGCTCAATTTAAAATTCTGGTTCTTGCTTTCAAATCGCTACATGATGCTGCTCCCACCTATCTATCCATCCTTATACACAAGTATGTCCCGTCTAGGCCCTTACGATCTGCTGAAGACTTACGTCTATCTTCTGTCCGTACTCCCACCTCTGAAACCCACTTCTTCATAAAAGCGTATCAATTAAACTGTTAATAGCTCCTGACTGATTCCTCTTCTGCAACTGTCACTAGTCTAATACTATCCTTACCTTTTTGTGTCATTTTACCCTACTCCCTCTAGCATGTAAGCTCATTGACCAGGGCCCTCAACCCCTCTGTTATTGTGTGTCCAACTTGTCTGGTTACAACTACATGTCTGTTCGTCCACCCATTGTAAAGCGCTGCGGAATTTGATGGCGCTATATAAATAGCATAATAATAATAGTACACAGTCTCATCAAAACAAAATGTAAACAAAAACTGGAATTTGCACTGTATGTCTGTTCAACCGTAATTCACCTTTTTTATATCAAGTGCACCCACACTTATTATATATCATTTTGTTCAGGAGAAACAGGGATTTAATTTCTCATAAACTATTCATATATGAAACATAATTAATATGAATAAAATCTAAAGTGTGAGAAAATAAGATTTTTTTTTTTTTAAATGTAGTTCTGCGTGACATTTTAACTATGAATGTCATAATACTGTTAGCTTTTACTGCAATATAATGCACATATTTGTATTCAGTGATGTTTCACGAGTACAACAGTACCCCCCATGAACAGATTTTACAGTGTTTTGGAAAGTAACAGGGTCAAATATAGAACGTTCCATTTTTCAGTTTTTTCACATTGAAATTTGCCAGACTGGTTATGTTACCTTTGAAACCCTGTTGTAGCCCAGGAATGAGAATTACCCCCATAATGGCATACCATTTGCAAAAGTAGACAACTAAAGGTATTGCAAGTGGGGTATGTCCAGTATTTTTTAGTAGCCACTTAGTCACGAACACTGGCAAAGTTAACGTTCATTTTTGTTTTTGTAGGAGAAAAGCTAAAAACTAATATTTGGCCAGTGTTTGTGACTAAGTGGCTACTAAAAAAGAATGAACATATACCCCACTTGCAATACCTTTGGTACCTGATAGTGAAGTATGTAAAAAATACAGTATGGTGAGGATAAATAAAAATATATGCACTCACACTTTATAGGAGCTTAGGTGCAGTTCCAACTTAGACGCCTGAGGTTCTTTTACCCTATTTTTTATCATTTATTGTTTTTTTATCAATAAAAGTACTTTTTTATTGGACCTGTTTGCCGTTGGATTCCTGTACTCTATATACTTGGTGGGGATAATCCCACCGAAGCCTGTTGGACAGAGTATATTTGCTCTATTAAATGTGAGTAGTTTTTATCTATTTCATGTTATTTACCACTTTTTACAGTCTACACTATTGTGGTTTTATTTTCTCTTTTACTCATATAATCGGAGAGAGACCACCAGCACCTATATCCTAGAGTTGGGATCATACCACTCCACAACAAACCTGTGGAGCCACTCTATAGGCTCCAGTACACGTACGTGCACATCTTTTATAGCTATATATTTTAATACTGAGTCTGGCATATTGTACTATATATCACTGATTTCTCCTACATATCTGCAAGAGAAGCTGCATCCACAAGAACCTCCTATAGAGTCTGTACTCCACCATATTCTCAAGCGGGGATTATTCCACCCAAGTGTCTAAGTTGGAGCTGCACCTAAGCTCCTATAAAGTGTGAGTGCATATCATTTTATTTACCCTCACCTTACTTTATTTTTCACATACTTAATTTTCCTATTTTTCCTCCTTTATGGTTATATATACACACTCCAAGGACATTCCTGGTGCTGCACCTCCTTCTCTGGTTTTATTTTGAGACCTGAGCAGGTATCCACCAAAAGGCAGGTTATTGAGTTTCTCTAAGCGTTTGTCCCTTCTCAGAGTTCATATTCTCTGTTTTTGTTAGAGCTATTTTTAACTTAAATTTGAAATTCTCAGAGTTCTCATATTCTCTGTTTTTGTTAGAGCTATTTTTACCTTAAATTTGAAATTCTCAGAGTTCTCATATTCTCTGTTTTTGTTAGAGCTATTTTTACCTTAAATTTGAAATTCACTTTGAATTCTCAATTTAGTGTTTCTCGTTTTTCTGTTCAACACATTTCTCAATTTTCAAGTTACCTCAATTACCCATTCTCTAACTGTTATATTAGATAAATAAAATCTCTAATATAATTATATAATCTTGTTTTACAAATGTTAATGACAATTTATAAAACCTAATTACTTTTTCTATATGATGTATGTGACTTTTTTTATCTGTCTGAGCAGCCATATTGGATCAGACTCTACTGTTATCTGACCAACCACTGTTCAACCTATCTTGCCTTCTGTTGGCTCAGTGTGAAACTGCAACAGCATGCAAATTACTGTGAGCAGACATTGGGCAGATAACTGGGTAGTATTAGTAGTATCTGACCCAACATGGGTACTTGGCCAATAAAAAAGTCACATGTTCCTAAATAAAAAGTATAATTAAAAAAATATAATATAATAATAGGAACACTATAATGTTAATGTCTGTACATATAGGCAGTTCACCCCGGTGCAAAAAACCCTAAAAAAACACCCTAAAATGTTACCTAACTTATTCTCGAGCATTGATTGATTTTATACTTTCTTATAGTTTTTACTCGGTCTGTGGTGCGGAAGCACCTCTAGTGGTTGTCCGTATGACAGTTACTAGAGGAAGAGTTAAACCTGCAATGTAGACATTGCAGTTTCTCAAAAAGAGTTTAGGGGACAGGGTGACTGCACCCAGACCACTTCAATTAGATGATGTGGTCTTTGTAAATATAATGCTCCTTTAAGTTTTATTAAATACAATAATCTTTTACAAAGAGAGAAGTGAACATTTGATGATAGTTGTCGTTTCATTCTGGAAAACCCCATCATCATACTAATCCCTGGGTTATATGTTGTCTCCATCAGTGCTACGGAAGGCAGGTCTTCTACAGTAACCAGTTTATTTTGAATCACTTTCTGTGGCTTTTCCGATATCAGTCTCTACCGAACAGTGGGACCCCCAAAAAATGACATTGGCCAAGGGTGTTGAAGCACTGTAATAGGTAACTCAATTCGTGTTTGTTTGTTTGTTTTACATTATAGTTTTATTTTTTCTTTTAAAGGACCACTCTAGGCACCCAGACCACTTCAGCTTAATGAAGTGGGTTCAAAAAGCAGGGTCTGTTGAAGTTAACCTATTTTTATAAACATAGCAGTTTCAGAGAAACTGCTATGTTTATCAATGGGTTAAGCTTTTCCCTTATTCTTCTTCTAGTGGCTGTCTCATTGACAGTTACTGAGGCGCAGTGCTTCTCACTGTGAAAATCACAGTGAGAGCATCGCTAGCTCCTGTGGAAAGCATTGTAAATGCTTTCTTGAAG